GACAGCCATGATAAAACGTGGACATCAGTGACACCACTGGGGACATTGGTGACTTCACAAGGACAAGGGTGACATCAAAATTACACCAGTGACATCATTGGTGACACTGGTAACATCACAGTGACATTGGTGACATCCTTGAGGACCAATGGCATTACAGGGGACTGGTGACAAGAAAGGGACAACCGTGATGTCACAGGGACATTTCTGAGATGACAGAGTTCTGGTGAAAACACAGAGATGTTGGTGACATCACAGGAACATGGCTTATGATTTTTCTGACTGTAATGGGGTGAGTTCAAAAGGATGCAGAGAGTGAAAACCAAGACACCACTGAGAGTTCAACAATAAACCCAATATTTATTACAGAAAGAGGCCAAGTTAACAAGAACCCGAGAGACAGGAAAGGAGTGAACTGAGCCCTCAGTGAAATCCCCACTCATGCAGGTGTGTTTTACGAGGTTGTTTTAGCCACCCCAGGATAACCAGAACTCCCCCCAGCAGAGGCTGCACCCTGGGAGGGTCAGCAGGCTCACAAAGAGAGCGGCGTCCCCTCTGAAGGCAACGTTGTCCTTCCTGTGAAGTTTGAGAGCCCCAAGCACGAGCCACCTGCGTTTTTATCCACTGAGCCGGGGACGTCTCCCTGGGCCGGTGTGGCAGCACCGCCCAGCCAGAGGCCCTCGGTCCCTGCCCCGTTCTGTGAGTGCCCCCCTTCAGCCATGCAGGAGAACGTGGGGATTCCCCTCGCACTTGCGCTGTTTCACTCAAGGGCTCTGATCTATTTGGGTCTGGGGGCTTTACTTCATCCTCTCCTCTTTGATTGCTCCTTCAAAAGTCCCCTAGAGACAACGAGCGTATCATAGAACACCAATTAAAACAGTTTATACAAGAAACTCTCTCTCCAAGGATGAAGTTCCCGTTTATCAGTGAACTTGACAGGCAAAGAACAAAACTTTTGCAGGTGGCTGGGCCAAACACAGACCAAAAAATACCAACAATCCCTGATACACCTGCCCTGATTTCTGTGCTGAAGATGCTTCTTCAGCCCTTCTCTGGAGCTGCAGGGGCAGTGCCTGTGTGCAGAGCTGGAGGGAAGAGACTCCCAGCACAGCAGCACAGCCAGGGACAATGGCACTTGTTCTTTCCACATCTCAGCTTCGGGAAAGGCTGGGGAAGGTTGGGAAAGGTGTTAACAGGGTGGTTTTGCCTGAGGTGTTAAACATGGGAGCAGGCCTGTCTTCACAATTCCCCAGAGAAGAGATGGCAGAAAGCTGCCCTGCAGGTTGGATTGGAAGGAACAGGAAAAGAGACCGAGGGGAAGGGGTTTCTTTCCTGGAGGGCAGGGCTGTCGTTCACTTGCAGGAGCCCCGCGCTGGAATTGTCAGTCCGACTGCCAAATCTGAATCTGGACAAAGATTCCTGCCAGACAAAAGGTGGCAGGACAGAAAGCTCTTGCTGCCCATGGAGTGCCCAGAGTGCCAACTACACCTGAAACCTGAAGGTTACAGGCTTTCTTTCCTGGGGGAAAGGCCGTGACTTCACAAAGAGTCCCCTGGCAGATGGGTGGGGCTGCACTGTGGGGGTGTGGGGCGTTGATTCTTTGGTTTCCAGGGGCTATTCCAGAATGGAGAGGATGGGTTGGGACATCCTAAAGGGGCACATGGGTGGGGCTGCATTCTGCCCTTGTTGGGTGTTGGTTCTTTGGTTTCCAAGGGCTATTCCGGAACGGAGAGGGTAGGCTGTGACATCACAAAAGGGTCTCAAGCACATGGGTTGGTTTAGTGGGTTCACCCTGGCTGGATTTCAAACACCCACTAAAAGCCACTACTTCCCTCTGTAACTCCACAGAGGAGAGAAAAAAAAATTCAGCTGAGGATTCCCGAGTAGAGATAAGGGTCGGGAGAAAGTCACTTACTAATGGACAAAACAGACTCAAAATAAGGATAGTATTTAAATTTATTACTAACAGGATAAAAACCAAAGAGTGAGAAATAAAAGAGTCTTAAAAACACCTTCCCCCCACCCCTCCTTCCTTCTCAGCTCTCCCTCCTGCCCCCAGCAGTGCAGGGGGATGGTAATGGAGGTTACAGTCAGTTGTTGTTTCTGTCACTGCTCAGGGAGAGGAGTTGGATCCTTCCCTGCTCCCCTGGGGTCCCTCCCATGGGACACAGTCCTGAATGGACCTCTGCAGTGAGTCCATCCCTCAGGCAGCAGCTCTTCCCAGCCTGCTGTCCCGTGGGTCCCTCCTCCATGGGGTCAGTCCTTCAGGGATGAGCTGACCCGGCCTGGGTCCTCCACAGGGGCCACGAGTCCTGCTGGGAAAAACCTGCTCCAGCCTGGGCTTCCCTCTGCACGGGCTGCAGGTCCCTGGCAGGACCTGCTCCATCCTGGGCCTGCCCCGGGGTCACAGCCTCCTTCCTGCATCCCCTGCTCCAGCGTGGGAGCCTCCAGGGGCTGCAGGGGGGTCTCTGCACTCCGATGCTCCCCCAGGGGCTGCAGGGGGGCCTCAGCTCTGGTGCCTGGAGCACCTCCTGCCCCTCCTTCTGCACCCCCCTTGGGGTCTACATTGCTGTTCCCACATTCCCACTCTGCTCTTCCCTGGCTGCAATTCCTTCTGGCCCTAAATCTGTTCTCCCAGAGCTGTTCCTGATGCTCCTGATGGGCTCGGCCTTGGCCAGTGGCACCAAGTCCATCCTGGAGCAGCTGGCATTGGCTCCACAGGGCAGGGAAAGCTTCTGGCAGCTTCCAACAGAAACCACCCCTGGAGCCCCCCTCACTACCAAAACCCACCCATAGAAACCCCTGACACCCAGTGACTTCCACTTGCCCCAGTTCCCATCAGTGTGATCCCAGTCACTCCCAGTTCATGCCAGTTGCCTCCAGCGTGCACCCTGTCACTCCCAGTTGCTTCCAGCATGATCCCAGTTGCTCCAAGAATGTTCCCACTTGGCTTCCAGCACAGCCCCACTGGCTCCCACTTCCCCCCTGCATAGTTCCAGTCACTCCCAGTTTGATCCTGGTCCCTTACAGTCACTCCCACTATGATCCCAGTCACTCCCAGTCACTCCGTATTGGATCCCAGTTGCCCCCAAGGTGGTCCCAGTTGCTCCCAGCCCCAGCCCAGGATGGTTCCTTTTTTCTCTCAGGGACTCCCAGTCTGAGCCCAGTATGGTCCCAGGCTCTGTCAGGCACTGCCTGGACGATGCCATTCTCTCTCTGCATGATTCCAGTTCCTCCCAGTATGATCCCAGTATGAGTCCAGTCATCCCCAGTATGATCCCAGGAACTTCCAGACACTTCCAGTAGGAAGCCAGTTTGATCTTACTCATCCTCAGTATGGCTGCAGACCCTCCCACACACTCCCAGTATTATTGCAGTCACTCCCAGTATGATCCCACTATGACCCCAGCAAGGGCCCAAGTGCTCCCAGTATGATCCCAGTTGCCCCAGTTCTGGTCCCGCTGGATCCAGTCCATGTCTGGGTCTATCCCGGTGTCCCCCCTGTCCCCCCACTCTGCTGTCACCCCCTTTTCTCTCGCCTCAGAGCTCCTGAGCCGGCGGCGGCCGCAGCCCCTCCCCATGGCCTCGGACCCAGCCGGGACCCCCCAGTCCATCCCCACCCGGAGTTTGGGGGGGTCGTGTGTGTCCCCCGACCCTGTTTTTGTTCTCACATCAGCTGCCTGCTGCTCCCAGTGCTCCCAGTAAAGCTTCCCAGTACTCTGCAGTCCTGATTATTGGTGGGGAATGGGAGAGCTCTGAAATCCTGGGCACGGAGGGAGGGGGGGTGGGGAGGGTTTGGGCACTCCCAGACTCCCAAATCCCGTGAACAGGGGGAGATTTGTTACCCTCGGTGGCTCAGAACCTCATTCCCACGTATCCAGGTCACCCCAAAGCCAAGTTCCAGGAATCCGGGACCAATCAAAACCCACCCCGAACCCCCCAAACCGCAGGCAGAGTCATCCCCAGCAGCAGCCAGTGGGAGCAAGTGCTGCTCTTGCGTCATCAGTTGCTGGGCAGACCCGGCTCAAACTGAGCCTTCACCGAGATCAGCCAATCGACTCGTTTGGGAGGCACGTCGGAGCTCCGGGACACTGGATCCCCGTTTTTTGGTTCAGCTGAGCTCCGGGACCTTTGGATGCTCATTTTTGGGCGCCTCTGAGCTCCCACCTCCCCCGCACCCCACGGACCCTCGAAACTCCCCACCTCCGGGGCTGCAGAGCCTCAAACGACCTTCAGCCAATCAAAAAGCGTTGGCCCATCCTGCGACCAATCAGAGTCCCTCTTTTTGATGACTCATCAGTTGCTGGGATAACGCGACGCTAAATGAGCCCCCAACTTTACCTTAAACCAATCAGAGCGCGTCCAAAACACCCCAAAACGGCCCCGCCCGGCAGGTTTTGGGGTGTCAGCAGCTGCCCGGCGCTGGGGATGGAGCGTGTGCGGGGAGCTGGGGCCGTACTGGTGGTACTGGTGGTGCTGGGAGCCCCCGGCTGCAGGCGAGGGCTCTCGGGTGAGCGGGGGGCGGGAAGGGACGAAAGGGGGATAAAAGAGGGGATGGGAGCCACAAAAGTGAGTGTGTCTGTGTGGGGGGGTTGGAACCCCGGAATTAGTAGGAGGAGAGTGGGAGCCCCAAACTTAGAAAGGTGGGGGTCTGGGGATTGGGAAGGAGGGTGGGAGAGGGGGAAAAGGGGGTGGGAGAGCAGGAAGAGGGGTGCCATGGGGGTCCCTCGGTGTCCCCCATCACTGGAGCCCTGCAGCGGTTCCCTGGGGCTCTGGGAGGCGGGGGCGGATCCGCACTGGGGGTCCCCAACCCTTCTGTCCATCCCCGGGGGCTGATGGGGGTTCCCCCAGCCAAGAGTCGATGCTGCGGCGGCCGTGGGGCAGAGGGGATGGGAAAGGGAGGTCCAGGGTGGCGTCCTGAGCTCCCAAACTGCTGTGCAGGGGCTCGGGGATGGTAGGAGGAACAGGTGGCACCCCTGACCCGTGTCCTTGTCACACAGGGGTGTTCCGGAGATGTTCTAGAAAGCACGAGTGTTACTTCATCAACGGCACCGAGCGTGTGAGGTTCGTGGAGAGGCTCATCTACAACCGGGAGCAGTTCGTGCACTTCGACAGTGATGTGGGGGTCTTTGTGGGGGACACCCCGAATGGGGAGATCCAGGCCAGGCAGTGGAACAACGACCAGGAAGGGTTGGAGCTCAGACGGGCTCAGGTGGACAGGCTCTGCCGGAACAACTATGAGGTGTCCACCCCGTTCAGTGTGAACCGCAGAGGTGAGTGCAGGACAGAGTGGGTCCCTCGGGAATTCCCCTGCCCCGGGAAGGACCCTGGAGCCACTGAAACCCTCCCTGGGAATCACCCTAGACCCCTCAGCCCTCCCTGTGCCCATCCCTGTGGCCTTGTGCCGCCCCCCAGTCCAATCCAGTCTCTTCCTATGCCCCCCAAGTCCATCCAAGTCTCTCCCATTGCCCCTTATTGCATTGCGATCCATCCCAGTTTTTCCCAGTGTCCCCAGTCCATCCCAGTCCATCCCAGTGCACCCCCGCGCCTCCACCCCACTGCTGCCACCGCTCTCCCTCCTTTCAGCCAATCAGAGCGCATCTTTCCAATGACTCATCGGTTGCCGGGCAGATCCGCAGCGTAGAGTTCCCCCACCACAACTCAGCCTCCTAGTCCCGTTCGGTTCCTTCCCAGTCCCTCCCAGTGATTCCCAGACCCACCCAGTCATACCAAGAACCTCTCAGTCCATTCCCAGTCCTTCTCAGTTCACTCCCACATCTCCCAACTCTCTCCCCAGTGACCGCCCCATCCCCCCATTCCCAGTCGCTCCCAGTCATTCCCATACCCTCTCAGTCCACTCCCAGTCGTTCTCAATTCACTCCCACATCTCCCAGCGCTCTCCCAATTGCCCCCTCAGCCCATCTCCTTCTACCCCAGTCAATACCCAGTCCCTCCCAGGGCCATCCCAGTCGCCCCCAGAGCCACCCAAATCCCTACCAATGTGCTACAAGACCTCTCCCCTCTGTCCCAGTCTCCCCCAGCTCAGCCCAGTGTCTCCCCCATCTCTCCCAGTGCCCCCCAGCGTGTCCATCTCGTTGGTGCGGTCGAGCTCCCAGCCCGGCCCCGGCCGCCTGCTCTGCTCCGTGATGGATTTCTACCCTGCACCGGTGCAGGTGAGGTGGTTCCAGGATGGGCAGGAGCTGCCGGAGCACGTGGTGGCCACCGACGTGGTCCCCAACGGGGACTGGACCTACCAGGTGCTGGTGATGCTGGAAATCCCCCCCCGGCACGGGGTCACCTACACCTGCCAGGTGGAGCACATCAGCCTGGAGCACCCCCTCAGCCGGCACTGGGGTGCGGCCCGGCCCCCAGCATGGGGGGACACTGGCAGGGGGGTCAGGGGGCTGAGGGAGCACTGGGGACATGGGGAGGCACTTTGGGGGGGCAATGGAGAGGCTGAGGAGGAGGGTGGGGTGTCCTGGGAGGGCTGAGAGTGGCTGTAGGGAGTCCTGTGGGTGACTAGGAGGGAGTTTGGGAGAGCCTGGGTGAGATGGGAAGGAGACTGGGAGGTGCTTGAAGTGACTGGGAGGGGGTTGGGGAAGTGCTGGGGGGCTGGGAAGGGACTGGGAGGGGTTTAGGGGGGTCCTGGGGGTGATGGGAGGGGGATTGGAGGGTCTTAAAGGGGATGGGAGGGGCTTTGTGGGATCCTGGAGGGGCTGGGAAGGGACTGGCAGGAGGTTTCAGGGGATGCTGGGTGGGCTTGGGGAGACCAGGGCAGGGTTTTCAGGGGGTCTCGGGTGGTCTCTGGGAGGTTTAGGGGGTCCTGATTTCCCCCCCGGTTCTCCCCAGAGATGCCACAGGACACCGTCCGCAGCAAGATCCTGGTGGGGGTCGGGGGCTTCGTGTTGGGTTTGGTCTTCCTGGCGCTGGGGCTCGGCTTCTACCTGCGGGAGAAGGTAAAGGGGGGGTCCCCGGGGGTCGTGTCCCCCCTTTCCCAGAGCATGTGTGCCCCCCTGCCCCCCCAGCCCGCTGTCACCCTCTTTTCTCTCCCCACAGAGCTCCTGAGCTGGTGGCAGCCGCAGCCCCTCCCTGTGGCCTTGGACCCAGCTGGGATCCCCCAACCCATCCCCACCTGGAGTTTGGGGTGGTCGTGTGTCCCCCCCTCGGCCCTGCTTTTGTTCTCACACCAACCGCCTGCTGCTCCCAGTGCTCCCAGTAAAGCTTCCCGGTTCTCTGCAGTCCTGGTGTTGAAGGGCAGGTGCCCTCCCAAAGCCCCCCCAGAATCAGCTTATGGAAATTGTACAATGGTTGGCACCCGTTGTCTTTCTGCTTCCAGGAGTGTGTATTTTTCTGCCATGTCTGGTTCAATGTTTTCACAGCTTATTGGCTCAAATTGTATCTGCTTTTTTAAAGAAAAAGGGGGAAGTGTTGGGATTTTTAGTGCTAATATAGAGGATATGCTGCAGCTCTGAGATCATAACCTTATATTGCAATTGTGAAAACATGATCTGTTGTTGTGATGGCCTTCTGATGGTACGAGGATGTGAAAGATCTACCAAGGGAAGCAGTAGCAAAACTGGATATAGAAAACAGGGTCTCAGTACCAGCTATCAGAGTGGGAAAGGACATAAAGAATATTAAAGAGACAGAGCTGATAGAAGAGTATTGTTAGAAAACTGGATAAAAGACTGCTGCTTGATTCCAATCAACGGCGCTCTCTGATCATCACATTGCTGTGCTGAGTCGTCCGTGCTCGCATGAAAACCCCCCAGGCAGGTGCCCTCCCAAAGGCCCCCAAACATCCCCAACATCCCCAGTGATGTTACCACTGTCCCTGGGATGTCACTGGTGTTCCCAATGAT